TCTCTCTCTCTCTCTATCTATCTCTCTCTCTCTCTCTCTTTCAAAGCGAACAATAGCAGATGGAAAACAATTGGCAACACCAAATTAATCATCCTCTCCCGTTAAGTATCCAATCGGAGATTGCTGGGAAACTAGACAGAAAAGCAGGCGTTCTGACAGGAAGGGGAGTGAGGCTTTAGATGGTCATAAAGACAGGTTTTGTCTTTGTTCGAGTTTTACGGCACTTGCAACACACGTATGTCATAAAGTGACGAATATTGGAGGCGTTACGAGAGAGTAACACAAAGAGAGAAAAAAAGTAGGAGAGATGACAGATCCAGATTTTGGTTTTAGTTTTACAGCACTTGCTACAGCCATATGTCATAAGTGCCGAAGATTAGATGTGTTACAAGAGAGTAACAAACACAAAAGAGAAGGAGGAGAGACAAAGCCAATAGATGTTTGACAAGAAAGAAGGAGCAAACTACACAAGAGCACCCACCAACCATCCACAAGCAAAGACTTTTACTAAAACTAACTATCTCTACTCCTTCTTTTCTTTGTGTGTAAATCTCTTGTAACACCTCTAATGTTCTGTACTTATATGACCTTATTGTGTTACAAGTGCGGTAAAACCTTTAACTACCCCTCCCCCTAAAAAAACCAGTGGGCAGGCAGACAGACAGGCAGGCAGGCAGACAGGCAGGCAGGCAGGCAGACAGACATTATTGTTTAATTGTATTTTTAACATAAATGTGTCATTTAAGTACTGAAGATTACAGCTGCTGCTTGTTTTTTTTTGGGGGGGGGGTTTAGGGGAGGGGGGGAGTTAAAGGTTTTACCGCACTTGTAACACAATAAGGTCATATAAGTACAGAACATTAGAGGTGTTACAAGAGATTTACACACAAAGAAAAGAAGGAGCAGAGATAGTTAGTTTTAGTAAAAGTTTTACGACACTCGAAACACAATAAGGTCATATAAGTGCCGAAGATTAGAGGTGTCACAAGAGAGTAATATACACACAAAAAGAGGGAGGAGAGACCAGGACGATAGATGTATTATAGGAAAGAAAGAGCAAATCACACCAGAGCACCCGCAAACCATCCACGGAGTAGAGATAAGGACGATAGATGTTGGATAAGAAAGAAGGAGCAAACCACACCAGAGCACTCTCCAACTACCCACTTACAAACTACATACAAAAAAAAAAAGAAGGGAGAAAGATAAGGAAGACAGCCGTTTGATTGGAAAGAAAAAGCAAGCGACACAATCGTAGCGTCCGTCAGCCACCCCCTAGGGGAAAAGATTGATTGGTAAGATGAATATTTAGAGAGATTTTCTTTTGGTCAGAACACAGCGTTTTATGTTACTGCTGGATTGTGTTGTATTGTAAAATGCTCGATCAGAGCCTATCTACTTAAATCGGGGTTGAGCGCTTTTTAATAGCATTTCTTGTTGTTATTATTATTATTATTATTAAGAAGGACCTACCAGTGGCGCCCTCCAACTACCTGCACAAGACAGGATAAGTGCCGAAGATTAGAGGTGTTACTAGAGAGTAACGTACATGTACATAGAATAAAAGTAGGAGAGATAAGGACGATAAATGATAGAAAAGAAGGAGAAAACCACACCAACCTATCACAAGCAAGAGGGTTTAGTTTGAGTTTTATAAGAATTTTACGGCGCTCGCAACTACATAAGATCATAGGAGCGCGCTGGGGGGAGATTACATTTGTAATTAACCTCATCCCATTTCCCCCTTAAAAAAGATGACGGAAGAGAGGCAGATGGGTCATGACTATCCATGTAGGTGGGCATACAAACCGGAAATTAAAAAGACGAACCGAGCTAGAAAAAAACAGGTCAAAATTTGTTTCATGTAGGTGTTTTTACTCCCCCAGAGACACAATTTAATCACTTAGGAGGCAGGTTTTCGACCTTGCCTGTCAATACCAACCCAGGTTGAGAGGAATACAACATCCCAGATGAAATACCGAGTTACTGTCTTAATAAAGACGTCTTCCCATATTGAAAGTGTAGTACCCCCGGAAAAAAAGTCAAAAACAAAATCAAGGATAACAACGACAACAACAAACAGACAAACAAACTAACTAACTAACAAACAAATAAACAAAAAAGCAGTTTTAGTAGGCTAAGTGTTATACGGCACTTCTTGCAACACAATAAGGTCACATAGATCTAAGTGCCAAAGATTAGAGGTGTTACAAGAGAATAACAAACACAAAAAAGAAGGAAGGGAGGTAAAGACGATAGATGTTTGATAGGAAAAAAGAAGCAAACCACACCAGAGCACCCGTCAGCCACGCGCTGGTCTCAGAGGAAGAAAATTATCATTACGGTAGACACTCGTTAAGTGGCAGGATAGAATAAGAAAGGAAGAGCTATGGGAAAGGACAGGACAAAAGGATATAGAAGTAGAAATAGGACTTAAAAAGTGGATATGGATGGGACACATCTTCAGAAAGCCCAGCGGAAACATCACAAGACAGTCGCTGCAGTGGAACCCACAGGGAGCACGAGGCAGAGGTAGGCCACGGGAAACATAGAGGAGATGTGTCGAAAGGGACATGAGAGAGATGAAGCTCACTTTGAACGAACTTGGAAGGATGGCCCAGGACAGAGATAAAGGAAGGAGCTTGTATGTGGTCTATACCCTGCCAGGGGTGGAAGGAATTGATGATGAGACACTCATCGTTCACTTACCGGTGCTGTAGTTGCTAGCAGCTAAAGCAGTATCCAGCAGTCGAAATCCCAGAGCAGTCCACACAACCGGAAGCAGAAACACACGGACGACTAAGGTTTGGGACACAGCACAAACTGATGGCGTCATCATTGGAATCTCAGCACCAAGGAGTGAATAAGAACTAAAGTATATAGATCTATATATTATATATTTATTATAAAACAAAACGAAATTTTTTTTAAAAAGTTAGGATGGTGATGTCACTTCCTTCACTTGGTTTTTTCAAAAAGGCTGATAGATCAGCTTCAAAGAAGTCATAAATAGAACTGTTATAACCTCTGATTGGTTTTTCGAATGCATGTATTCAAAACGCAGAGGTTTCCCAAGTCTTAGTGCTTTTGCTCCGAGTACACTGGAAGGTATAAATACAAGGCTGTCGTCTTTCTATCACACTCTCCTGTGCCACTGATCTGTTTCTTGTGTACATCGGAGTGCAACGTAGTGGTCACATGAACATTAGACTTTCTTCTTTTCAGGATAAGAAGACGCCGTTTAGATAACCCTAGGTGTAAAATCGGGATGTGCCCTGGAAAAGAGAAAGAACATAAATCAAGGTTAGTTTAAATGTGTGTGTGAATGTGTGTGTGTGTGTGTGTGTGTGT